TTTGTGTAGTATTAGAGTAATAGACCATTTACTGTAATATTCAGCTTTTAGTATTAGTTTCAGTGGACCCATTATTTCATGCATGAATAATAACATTTGACCTCAAAACCATCTTAGGAATATAAGATGTCATATCTAGTTGTGGAGAGGGGATACATTTTGCTGGAGTGAGCAAAAATGTAGAGGATGATTTCAGGATGTTGAAAATTGCGGCGGTGTATCTGGCAATCTTTCTCTCAGGAGACTTAGAGTTCCTAACAGTTCATCCACAATAACAATGTTAAACAATTTTTAATTTTCTGCTATCAACCAAAGTGTAGGAGCCTCAGTGCATGCAAAAATTCAAGACCCACTTCATCTCCATCTTCACCCAGTAATCCCTCTCTGAAAATCAGCCCACAAAGTGGAGATAATGCAGAGTGTAGTTTACAGGTCTATTTCCAAGACTCCGAAATTCAAGGACATCCACTGAATATTAGACGTAAAGACAAGCTGAAACAAGTGGACATAACCCTTGAAGCCAGGACGCGGGTCCCAGATATGCTGCCGAAATCTGCAAAGAGTTTACTAAAGAATTCACTTGTTACCGTGGACCAGATGAGTCAAGGGCATTCCAGGAAATATAACACGGTGAGGAATGTGAGGTAGGTTTTGAGCCAAGTCTGTAAAAATCCAAAACCACCTAGTTAGGTGCCCAGTTTGATGCTGATCATCAGTCCTGATCTCAGAGGTGTTTTTACCCAGGTGAACGTCCTATCAGTCTTCTGTCTGGTACACTCTGTGTTCTTTAAAATTCAAAAAAGAACCATAAAATATTATCACACATAATGATTGAATCAGAAATTCAGAAAAAGCTACAGCTTTCTTTAGAATCTGAGAATTTATCAACACACTATAATATTTTCCCCTGTGATTTCTTGCAATTTAAATGAGTGATTATTGGCTATATTCAGCTTTGTTTTTGCTGCTTAATTATGTAGATAATGAAACAAATAAATAAATTCAATAACTAAATACAGATGATTTTGCTTATTAATTAGTTTTGTGTACCTTGCATTACAGAAGTTGTAGCACTGGGCATCACTGTGGTCTGCACATGTGCAGCGATGAAGCACCTTCCCTACTGTCCCACTGGAGCGTCTCAGTCGCTGAGGGCTGCGGTAACTGGACATGCCATACGGAACTGTGCGCCTACAGACAGAACAAACAGACTCTTATTTTGGACATTACATGATTTTTAATAAAAAAAATTATACAGGAAATCCTTAAGGAGATCACAGAGGGTCAAGTCAAGTCAGTTTGTTGTATTTCACTTCTATGTTCAATAAATGCTGCACTTGGGTTCTTAAACTCACCTTCAGTGGGTCCCTCATTACAAGAGTTCACCCAAAAATGAAAATTCTGTCATAATTCACTCACCCTCATGTTGTTTCAAACCTGTTAAGACTTTGGTTAAAAGCAACTAAAACTTCAAAGATCCAAAGAAGTTATAAATGTGTCATAAAACAAATCCATATGAACAGTTTCATCCAAGTCTTGTGAAGAGAAACAATAGCTTTATATGATGAACAGATTTATTTAAAGGGGTCATATGATGCGATTTCAAGTTTTCCTTTCTCTTTGGAGTGTTTCACATATAAACACACAAGCATAAAGTGAATCACATATGGTAAATGCAAAAGCTCATGCTTGTGTCACATGCTAGAACAGACCTCATTGGTTCTCGTACATCACATGTTTGAGTTTCTGTGCTTACCATATTTGATGAGGTCTATGCATGTGTCAGTCATTGTTTATATGCATATAAAAGCCTAAAGTAATCTATATATGTGAACAAAAGCCTAAACTATCCATCATATAAAATGATCGTATCACGTCGTATTCACATTTTTGTGTGAACTAACCCTTTAAGAACCATTTCTCCCAAAAGAGAAAATTAATTGAAGTGTTTCTTTGGACAGTTGGTTCCGAAATGACAAAATGAAAGAATAGTAATTAATAATTAGTCAAACATAGCTAACACTAAATGCATTAAACCCTTGCTATCCACGTTTCTAGTTTACTGCCTGTCACTAGAGGTCAAAACGTTACTTTGGAAATCACTATGCCAACCATAACAAATTCAAGACGGACTCTGGAATGATTTAAGGGATTCATTACTGCATTTAAATGTGGTTGTCGTTCCTGATACTTTCTAGTGCGTATGTGGCCTTTTTGTTCAGTATGTTGCGCATGAAATGTGCTGTAGTTGCCTTTCATGACAACTTAAGTTTGCCTATGACTAACATATTAAGCCGCTGTTCCCTTTTCTCCTGTGCACAAATATTCAGAACTGTCTCATTTGGCTGGAGTGAAGCTGAAGAGGTATGGCATTGCGTTTGAGACAACAGGTGGGCTGGTAAATCATGCTGAAACATAGTTTTGATAGTGTATAAGCATTACAGAGAACAAAGCCATAAAAGACGAGCCAGATATTCACAATCATGCCAAACAGATTATTAAAATTTAAATCACACCACATATGGCACATGTTTGGCCTGAACTCACCCTGGCATGAGAAACAGATGAACACTGTCCAGTCAGATATAACAATTCTGTTATGAATCTGTTGATGGATTTCAAACATAAACTAGCAAAAACACAAATGATCAATCCAGTTTCAGGAGAACGTACGCTACTGTTCAATGGTTTGGAGCGGTGAGGTTTTTTCATGTCTCTTATGCTCACCATTTATTTGATAATAAATACAGTAAAAAGTGCAATATTGTGAAATGTTACTAGAATTTAAAATAACTGCTTTGTATTTAAATATATTATAAAATGTAATTTATTCCTGTGATGCAAAGCTGCATTTTCAGCATCATTACTCCAGTCTTCAGTGTCACATGATCCTTCAGAAATTATTTTAATGTGCTGATTAGCTGCTCAAGAAACATTTCGTATAATAGTATTTAATGATATTTATTATTATTATTATTATGCTGAAAACAGTTGTGTTGCTTAATATTACTGTATAATATATGAAGAGTTCATTTGCAAAAACAGATTAGTTTTTAACAATTCTCAGAAATCATGTTTTTTCATTGTGCATTCCAGTTAATCTCAATCAAACTGCAGTTGGGTTATTTTGACTAAGTTAAAAAAAACAGCTAACTAACACAATAAAACACAATAAAAACATGATAACATGATAAAAACGTGATTTTTGAAATAAATAAAAAAACGGAGCTATCTGTTTTTGCAAATAAACTCTTCATACACTATATATTATATACTGTAATACATTTTTCAGGATTCTTTTATGAATAGAAAGTTCCAAAGAACAATATTTATATGAAAAATAAATATTTTATAAAATTACTTCACTGTCACTTTTGATCAATTTAATGCATCCATGCTGAATTAAATAATAAATTAATAAAAAGAAAATGTTGAAGCCAAAACCTTTAAATGCCAGTGTACTTTAAATAGTTCACAAAAATGTAAATTCTGTCGTCATTTACTCACTCTCATGTTATTCCAACCCTGTATGACTTTCTGTCTACTGCTGAACACAAAATAAGATATTTTGAAGAATGTTGGTTACCATTGACTTCCATTGCATGTTCAAAAAACAAACAAAAAAGAAAACAGTGAGACAACTTCTCAAAATATCTTTTTTTTTATGTTCCACAGAAGAAAGAAAGTCATACAGGTGAAAAATCCCTTTAACACCTGAAACATTGTAAAGTATATACTCTTTTTATTATTGTAGAAGCAAACCCAGCTGGAATTGCATTGACACTGAGATAAACCATAAGAGGCTGCCTCTAGTGATGGCTTGGAACAAGGGCCAAAAATATTTCTGCAGACTCATCTGGGAAGGCTTCCATGCACTTTATATGAGCTTCTCTCCGATCTCCAGCCACTCTCTTCAGTACTCTCTTTCTGAACGCATGCCTCTCATCTCACATCACAAGTGTTTGCTCTCATGTTGACCATTTGGTTTCAGTGTGGAGCCAGGGGTCCGAGCTGAATTCCTGAAGGATCGCCTGTCAATATCAATGGTGAGTGATGTGCCACAACACATTGGAAGTCATAGTTTAAATAGCTCAGCGTCAGTCTGAATCACTCTACTAAAAGTCCTGTGGCGATCTCTCATGTATTTGGCTAAATAGCGATAACTCATTCATGTCTGCATGTTGTTGTACAACCGAATATATCTATATTTAAATATATCTATATTTAGAAATATATTTTAATCGTGTTTGCTGGCTATGGAATGATATTGAATAGAGAGTATTAAGGAGTGTTGGGTATGGCCTCATTTTAGTCCTTTATTCTGGCGAGACAAATGGGCACTGAAACCGGGTTTATTTTTAATGATATATTGTGTGTGCTGGCTGTCAAAAAGTGATCTTATTCAAACTCTAATTTTTGAGAATCCTCTGCTTCTATTGCATCAGCACCATGGACAGTAACCGTTACCATGGAAACACAGTCACATCAAAATATGCTTGTGGTAAGTATTGCAGAAACTTAAGTTGGACCATCTTTGTACAATTTAAAGAGCAGACACCATTAAATCAATGACACTCCTTCAGTCTGGCCAATCAGGTTTAACTACATATCCATCAAAATACTAACATTTATTTAAGTCACGGTTGAATTGTAAAATATTATATATATATAATAATATTAAATAATATTTTACAATTTAACCATGACTTAAATAGTTAGAATTTTTATGAATATATTATTATAGTACTGTATACTGCCGTTCAAAAGTTTTAGATCAGTAAGATTTTTAAATTTTATTTTGACCCAAAACACAGCAAAAACAGTAATATTGTGAAATATTTTACAATTTAAAATAACTTTTCTATTTGAATATATTTTAAAATGTAATTTATTCCAGTCTTCAGTGTCACATGATCCTTCAGAAATCATTCTAATATGCTGATTTGATGCTCAAGAAATATTTCTTATTATTATTATCAGTATTGAAAACAGCTGTGTACAATTTTTTTTCAACTCTTTCAAACAATTTTTGATTCTTTGATAAATAGAAAGTTAAAAAGAACAGCATTTATCTGAAATAGAAAGCTTTTGTAACATTATACACTACCGTAAGTTTGGGGTCAGTGTTTTTTTTCTTTAAAAAAAAAAAAAAAAAAGAAATTAAATAAATGAATACGTTTATTCAGCAAAGATGCATTAAATTGATCAAAAGTGACAGTAAAGACATTCATAATGTTACAAAAGGTTAAAAAGATAAATACAAAAATATTTAGATATATTAATTAAAAATTATATGAATTTAATTTAATATCATTTACTAAAATGTAAATATTAATATTTAAAAACATGTGTTTAATATTTAAGTAAATTATATGTTTTAGCTTAATAATAAAATATATAATTTCACATGCTGTACTGTATTATTTGTTTGTCCTTATTCCCCTTTATAATCCAAGCTAAATTACAACTACTCAGTGTTTTATGACTCTTAATGGAAAACAATATTTGTCCAATAGAATGGAAAAGAAAAAGAAACAGAACAACCATATCCAATTACTTTTAAGCACCTCTCAGCGCTTCTGTCCTGAATATAAAGGTCACTGGGTTGATCATTCATCAGACTACAGGCCTGAACAAGAAACTATCAAAACAGATTCTTCAGCATGACTGAAAGTCCTTGCCCTGATCTCATGCATGGAATGTACTTTCCCAGGGGTTCATTTTGTTCACCCCTCTCGAGACCAAACCAACAATACATTCAGAGGAGTGAATGTCTGTTTCTGCAGAATGTTTTACCTTTAAAGTATACGTTTTAAGTATATTGTGACCAAATATGTTGCTGAAACATGTTTGCGTAAACTGAATAGCATACATTTTATTATTAATTTTATTTGCATTTTGTTTGACACAGACTATTAGACAAATTGTAAAAAAAAAAAAAAAAAGAAAAAAAAAAACAAGAACATGGAACTAAAATTGACTGGATTGTGAAAAGTGGGTGCTCTATATCAGAATGTGACTTTGCAGTTAAATATTTAAAATATCCACTTCAAAAATACTGATGAAGGTCAAGTTCACCCAATAATAATGCTTCTTTTTTCAAATTAAACACAATTTGCAATTATTGCTGTCCTTTATTAAAAAGACTAGAACTAAACCATTGCATTTATTAGGGCTGAATGATTTTTGGAAAAAAATAAATAAATCACATAGCGATTTTCTGATAAAAAAAATTGTAACTGCGATTAAAAATGCAATCTGGGGAAAAAAATAAAAAAATAAAATAAAATCCAGCTTTGCTGTGCTAGTTTGTAGGGCTACACAATTTGACCAAAATGTTGTGATTATATAATCAATATGGAAATAATAACAATAAATAAACTAAAAATAAAAAAATATTTTAAAACAAGTATTACTAATGTAATGTTTGGTTCCCAAGTGCACATTAAAGCTACCCAAACTCAGATCAGATGCAGAGATTTAGTTCGTGTGGAGCAGCATTTACTGTGAAACAAGCCACTCTGAGGTGCTGCAAACACTGGCAGATAATGAGCTGCTCATGTGTACTTCACTCTAAAACACAGTTTATTTATTTAATAAAATCACAGCTTGCTTGATTTGATAGTCACACTAAACCATATCGCGATTTAAGTTTTACTGATTAATCGGGCAGCCCTATAATTTACTACTGGAAAGATAATAGAAAGGCTATAATATTATCCCATCCATAAATAGATTTTTGGGTATTGATTAATAATAATATTATTA